AGATACTGTGCAGCCTGCTATAGGTGACCCTGCTTCGGCAGGGGGGTTGAACTAGATGACCCACAGAGGTCCCTTCCAAACCCAAACATTCTGCTATTCTGTGATTCTGTTAAACCCTGGCAGTGCATCAGAATCTGGTGTGTGATTTTTTTTTTTTAATTTTTGAAAACCAGGGTTTAGTGACATTATACTGAAGTTTAACAAATGCAAGTTTTTTGGCTGTTGCTCACACAAATTTGTATGACATTTTTAGTATGTTTTAGGAAGAAAAAATCTGCCTGCAAATACAAAAATGCAGAGGGAAATTAACTTTTTTATAATGTACATTTAATTTTATAAACAATTGTGCAGTGGGAAGTTCTGCAATAGAATTGGTTAAACCCTTAAAGAATTTGTTTTCTAAAATGTGAACATGGGGAAAAAATTAGAAGTCCTTATAAGACTGTGTTAGTTGTGTGAGTTAATGCTGGTGATAGTTCAGGAAAGCTATTGCATTCAGTCCTAGTAAAATGAGACTACAGGCTAACCAGAATACACTCCTGCAATGAGAACTCAGGCGTGAAAATGTCCATTAACTTTGAAAGAAGCATTTTTTCTCTCCCCACCCCCCAAGGTGAGCAAAGAATTTATTTTCCCTCAGCAGTCTGAGAAAAGAGGAAGTTTTTCTTTTGTACTGAACTGGTATAATCCAGAGCTTGGCTTGCAGGAGAATACTCCTTTTAGTTGTACATAGGAATATCAGTTTTATACTATTCTGAATTGCAAATCCATCTAGTTGCTGGATTTGCTAACAGTTCAGAAGAACCAAACTACTCAATGATTAAAGTCATTCTTCCAAGTCAGCATAGGACTATGTGGGCAGAGGGGGGTTAGTACCAGTCATTCTGTGGTGTCAGAGCACTGTCCCTGCTGTACGCATAACCAATTAAAGAGACCATTAATGTTCCCAGAATGGGAGATGTAGCAAAGCATGCCTGGAAGGTGTGCCACAGAGGCAAACGTACCATACACCTACCAATGACCATTGCATACTTGACCAGATTTTTCTGGGTTTTTTTGAATATTTCTCTTTGTATATAGTTGACATGAACTAGTTTTTATTTCTTGTAAAAGTAAAGAGTTAATTTGTCTTGTGATTAAAGCCTCAGATTCTTTTGGCACAGTGTTTGAGCATCTCTTTCTGTTTTTCCAGAAGCCTCTTTCATAACGTTCTAAAATGTAAATACGCTTCCCAATCAGTCTTTTGTGATGCAGTTTTATCGTGGGTCAATTTGATATTCCAGATTTTCCATTATTTTACAAAAACGTACAAATCAAGGCACTTATGTTCTTAGTCTGTGACACTCGAGTTGTCACAAAATTATCATGCTAAGCTATAAAATAAAATGACCCTCATGCTCTTTTCATCCTTATCCTATGAGTGTGTGCTGACTTCAGAGCAATTATTTAGGATTTTCATTAGTATAAAGGAGGGCAAAATTGGAGCTGTGGATTTGAGAGTGTGCACTGAAGTCAGTCGGATTTGGCCTTTGATTTTAATAGGGCTGTTTTTTTAATCAGAAACACTAAGTGAATGAATAGAGCTTATAATGCTTATTTGGGAGTACTCAAAGTCATTTGAGCTACACATACTCGTTAAAAAGTCCTAGGGACTCAGCATCACCAGCCAAAAGATTAAAAAAAAAAAACAACTCTACAAAATGTTGGTAACTGCTTTTATCATGTGTTTATGTACATACACATGTTCATAAAAATGTGGTATGTGTATGCCCACTGTATTAATTTGTTATTTTAATATCTATTAATCTTAAGAATACTTGGTGCAGTTGTCTCTTACACAGTCCCTATATAATGAACCAAAGGGTAAAATTACTATTTTTTTCCCCCTTTTGCTGTATTTTTTTGGGGGCTAGGGTGTTTGTTTTAACTTGTAATACTTTTTGCCAATTTAGTTTGCTTGGATACTTTTATAAAAATAAAAAAATGTAAGAAGTCTTTTTTAGAGAATGGATTCGGTTGTCTTATGTCCATTGTTTGGGTATATGCTGAACTGCATTTCAGACTATCTGCAGAACCACCTTTTCTTTTTTTTTTGAGATTGCAATACATTTCTTAGGTGATTGGAAGAATAAGCTGACAAGAAAGTAAACAGGCAGAAAACCTCCTTTGTACTCTCTACCAAATAGCATGCTGCTTGTTGTCCTTTTGTTATAATAGTAAGTACTGAGTAGTTGATTGTCAAGCCTGAACTCAAACCACAGTAAATGGACAGCAACATAGAAGATTTACAGTGGTGTCATGAACAGCAGGATTTGGTTCTTTGACTTCACTTACCTGTTCTTGTCTTGCTAGAGTAACACTTGACATATTCCTTATACAGTCTGCACCTTTTTGAGGATCTTGTAATAGATAGGAACTAGTCAGGTAATTTTAAGAAATCCTTGATATATGCTGCAAAACACTGCAGATTTAAGAAAAGGGAAAGCTTAAGACTCACCACACTTGCATTTGTCGTCAAGCTATAAATACCATGATATGCAGCCTAACACAATGGGTTATTTATAGCAGGTGTTCCCACTTATGCCACTAATTTGTACAAGAGTAGTCATTTTTTACAGCCTTACTGTATTAACTAATGTTTGCAGCATAGAAAATTTACTCAGCTATAGAGGAGAACTTTCTTCAATACGGACACATCTTCTGTAAGGCCATTTTCTGTGGGTTTTAAGATGTGGTCATTTCTTTGTTATTTCTTATCCTTTTAAACATGCAGACATAATTGTTATCTATGAAAAATTGTCTTTTGGGAGGACAGATGTGCATGTTGCCTCTGTTGCTAGATAGTCTTTCTAAAAGCTTCAGAGCGAGATAAATATGCTGTGTTAAGATGGTTGCAACTATCCATTTGTGTCAACTGGAAAGCAGCTCAGATAGATAAGCAAGTTGTTTCCAAGTGATGAAACCCCTTTCATAGGGGCTGAGAGCTAGAGTAGCTTACTTTATTAGTGTTATAGAAATACAGGGCAAATAACTGATATAAAATGATACTGTTTTGAAGTATCCGAGAATGGCATACTTTGTGAGTCTTTGTACTATAGTAGAGAATTACATATTCTGACATTGTCTTAGTTTAACTATGGGATACTTGGTGCTATCTTAAGCAACATCCTCAAAAATGGATCACTTATCAAAGTGGTACACACAATATCATCCTCTTGAGGCTTTGGAAAAAAAATGCATACAGGTTGTACTGTTTATGCTTACTTCTGTTAAGCAGGAAGCCCCCACTTAGAAAGTTGTCCCTTTTTTTTTTTTTTAAAGTCTAGGGGGTAAAAATGCTACTCTCTAAAGCGTTTGTATATAATTTGGTAGTACAAGAGCTTTTCTTCCTATAACTGAAATATTAGGAAGCTTTTTCAAGGTCGTGTACTGAATTATTAAATTCAGCATGGCATTGCTCTTTGTTGGAAGGCTTTGTGATGTGAGGGAAACTTGATAAAGTCTATTAGTGGTAAAAAGTATTTGGTTTATTTATGAACTTTACCAATACGCTTCTCTAAATGGTTTATTCTATTAAAAAAAATTGCCTTATTACAAAAGGTCCCCAAACACCAATTATAGACATCTCTTAAGGCATGTTCTGGCCCTCTCTAGTGAAACTATCTTCACCCCTTTGATATGATAGTTATATTCTCATTAGAAGAGGGAGTTTGGGTATTTTAATGTACAGTAATAATGAAATTCAGAGGAATTGGTCAAATAGCATGTGATTTTGTGACAGGATATGCTGGTGATACCAAAAATTCATAGAAAGTTTTCTTGCAAAGTTGGGTAGTTAGAATTAACAAGAGCTTGATGAGGTAAAAAGTTCTCTAATGATCCCCTCCTATTAAAGTATAAAACTATTTGCTGCTTGTTTGGCAAGGGGCTTCAGGACAGGCAATTACTAAGTGAAATAATCAAGTCTTTATACTCATTGTGCTTTACCCATGTCATACACAGTGAGTATTTTATTATTAGTAATGATGTTCTTTATGGAAGATCGTTCAAGAGTGGACAGTGCCATTATGCTAGGCACTGTAACCGGGAAAGCAGACAGGTACTGCTCTGAGCAGCTTCTAGCCAAATAGCCAAAGCCTGGGAGTAAGTAAAAATCAATCCCAATAAGTAATATTATGTTGGTTAACTTATGGCACTACTAACTTGCTTAGATTGCATTTTTACTGCATTTGTCAGTAAGTTGCGCTACTAACATGGTAAAATAATACATGCTGACACACATAGAATCCTTCTATACTCAAGGGAAAACATTAAAATCTCTCCTGTCTTGTTCCATAGATAAGACTCCTGATATTCAGCTGTAGTTTTATCTAAGTAAACAAATCATAAAAGTAAGTTTTTACTGACTTCGCTGATTGTATTAAGACATTGCATCATTTGCATTGCAACCGTACAAGACTTCTTGTATTGTTTGCAGTTCTTTTCGCAACAAGTGGGATTTTTCTGCAGAAAAACATAGAGTCAGATTGCCCCGCTTTCATTGCATCAGGCTGTGTTGGGTTTTTTTCATCAAAATGCTGCATATGACTTGAATCTTAATGCTGAGTGGAAGTATTTTAACATTTCCTGTGATTATGCATTACTAATCCAGTTACCAGCTTCTTAATTATTAATCCTGGAGTTGCTCATATTCATTCTTAAACTTAGCTGTAGTTAAAAAAGACCCAGTCCTGTTGGGGCTGGAATCAAATAAGGTTTTTCTTTTCAATTCAATGGCAGCAGAATCAAGCCTTCACTTTTTGTCATTCTCCACTGTTACTGCCTTTTTTTTTATTCATGGCTCTTGTTTCTTCATGGTTTCACTTGTTAAGGAAATTTATGAAACAGCGGTCCTGATACCGAGACCTATGGCACTCCTCCCTATTAATCTTATTCTATAGTAAGAATCGGCTGTTTATTTCTGCCCTTTGTTTTATGTCTCAATGATTTTATTTTTTTTTTTGATCTGTCGGGACTTCGCGTCTCACCCATGGTTACCAACTTTCTGTAATAGCCTCTTGTGATGAACAAAATGCCACATCTATAAATCCTTCTGCCTCGATTCATCCACCGTTTCACTAGATCTGACCTTGAGAAGTTATACTTGAGTTTTGAGGGCCTCCAGATATTCTCTCATGTATAAAGTGTGGCCCTATCCCAGGTGGCTGTGTATTTGTAGACACTGGAACAAAGCAGGACCTTCTCCTAACCTGACTAAACCTCCTGAGCTCCTACCTTCCTTGCTTTCTTCTGACTTCACCTGCTTCCAGTCTGGTGGTGTTTTATTCTTTAAAAAAGACCAAATGCTGCACAAATGTTGTTTTAAAGGGTACTAGTAAATGCATTTGGGGCAAAATGCTGTGCCAATTTTTTGCTTATATTGGAGTGTAAACAGTACAGAAATAATTTCTTTTTCTGGGGGAAAGTGCTGCTTTGTCTCTGTTCTCTTTGTACACCTACAAATCTATGAGGTCAGCTTTTTATACTTTTTCTGGAGATTTTACCTTATTTATATTTTCATATGAACTGTGATTTAATAGCAGAAAGATAGCTTCCTTTCTCATTGCTGGATTCTTTCTGGTAATCACACTGTTGCTGGTGTGATATGGATGAATTTTAAACATTCGTCACAAAGTCTAATAAAAAAACGAATTTAGGTTTCTATCACTGTTTAATAATTAAAGCCTTTATCAGTATAAGCAGAGGCACTTTATGTGTGTGCTTTTAAACTTGCTGTTGCCATTAATACTTTTAAATGTTACAAGCTTAATTGCCCACTAGATGAATAAATTATGTGTAAACAGTTTGAAATGAACAGAGAAGCAAGCTGCAGTGTATTGAAGTTTTCTCTTTCACCATGTTTCTGTAATTTAGAAAAATGCTACCAAACTTGGGGGGGGGGGGAGAAAACTGACTTTTATATTTCAACCTTATTGTAGCAGATTTTAATGATCGTCCCCTTTTTCTTTGCCAGAGCTCCCTAGCACAGTTTTGGCAGCATTGAATGGTGATGTCACAAGCTGCTGTAACCTAAATTGCAGTAGTTCCTCATGCCTCCAAGTGGGGAAGAGGGAGGTACTGATTCCTAAACTTTGTTCGGTTAATCTACATTTACGCCAAGTACCTCCAGCACAGAGAGTGATACAAAATCCTCGTTACAGGCAGAGAGGGGAGGGAAAGGGGAAAGCCATCTTTGTGGCTTTACATCAGTTTCATAACTGTAAGCTCTGTTCCCCAGGCTTGACACTCGAATGGAAGTGCTTTGCATTCTAATACACTGTTGTAAGGCTGAATGCGCAAAGTGAGAGGAGGGGCTACAAGAAATGTTGTTTGTCTTGGAAACCTTGGGAAAATACATTTTAAATTGTTAGTGGGGGGAGGGGAGGACATTTGATCAGGAACATTCCTTATTGTTTTAGCTTGCACTATGGATGACGGAGTTGATGCTGTCCTTCAAATTCATTAATGTAATTAGTTAGCAGTGGGACACTGCAAGTCTCGGACCTTGCTTGCAGTGTCACATGACATTCAGGAGTAGGATCTTGTCATGATTCACAATTGCACTTATTCTGTGAGTAGTCTGGTAGGTATAAAGGGCACTGTGATGATGTCAAAAATCAGCCATCAGCTTGAACATCATCTTGAATTAGGATCTTGCAATGATGAGTTATTCTACATACATTTTCACCTTGAAAGCTACAAGTCACTATAAATTGCAGTTCTCTATTTTTTTTCCATAATATTATCTGTATAATATTCTACGTGTTTTTGAATTATTGATCTCATGGTCAACTACACTTTTTAAAATTGCTATCCCTCTACTTAATTGTATGCTAATTATGCTTAATTGTAAATTATTTACATAACTTTTAAGTCAAACTTTCACAGCAGAAATGATTACAATAATGTCCTACTAAAGTATGGGCTTATTTTTTTTTTTCTCCTTTTGATCATTCTTTTTTGTAGAAGTTGTTTGGAGGAGGAAAAAATTGTCATGGGTCTGTCTCATTTATTGTGAAGTATTTCCAAATGTTTAATGTTGTTAATCAATTAATGTAATCTTTATCAAATAGAGTAGTTTAAGGAGATGTGTTAAAGGGGAGGAAAATAACATTAATATTTTTATTCAGTCTATTTGCTGTACATGGTACATATGCTTATTAGTTATAAAGTTAAAAGTTCTGTCAAGGTATGATAAATACTGGAAGTAATTTCAATTGAGTTAACAAAGGGAATAGAATGAAAATAATTTAAAACTAGTTCACACCAGCAATTCTTCGTGCACTATTAACTGCTAAGATCTAGTCACAAAATATTATTCTGAGGAG